GATTCCACTAGTGTGACTCTCAGCGAGTACCTGCACGATTCGTTCATTCGTTTCGATGATTGCCCGGTGGCCACCAGTGTAATGGATAGCATGTCACGATTCTAAGAATCTGTAGATAGAGAAAATAAGTGGGATTTATACTGATTTGCAAAAAAAGGGGCTCCCTCTATCGCATTTGACACATACTAACACTCGGGCTACTTCTGGGTATTTCTAACTGTGGCAGAAGGTGAATTCGAAGAATTTTTTGACTGAAAAAAAAGAACTCAAAATTGAGGATAAGTGAAAATATTGAGGGTGTGTGATAGAACTCAAAATTGAGTTTAAATTGAAAATATCGAGGGTGTTTCAGGTAAAACTTGAAATTGAGTGTAATTAAAATTGAAAATCTCAAAAAATTTTTTGAAAATCTTAAAGAAATTGAAAATCTTAAAGAATTTCAAAATTTTTTATCGTATCAGTTTAGCAGTGTATTATTTTTTTTTCCAGCGGAACCGGTTTAACATCGGAGAAATTCATGAAGCAACCGCAGAATGAGCCAGTTTTAACCTACAAAAAAGGCAGCCCCGAACGAATAGCCCTCGAAAAAGCAGTCTCAGAGTTGGCTGGAGCAACCGCGGAAGTACCGCTACGAATTGGAAGCGAGAAAATTTACAATAATCTCGAGTATAATCAAGTAATGGTAAGGAATGCATTCATTTTGCTAATCTTGGTACATTTCACTGAAACTTTATCAGAATATCTCACTGGGCCATAGGCGAATCCAGAACGGATTCCTGGGGGGAGGGAGGGGAGGGAGCGGGTGGGAAGGAAGGGGGGAGAGGGGAAGCGATATGAGGTGGGCAAGAGATCCCCTTCCACTCTGGAACTATGCAAAAACTAGGAATAGAGTTGTAACAGTGCTGCTTAGGGTTATTTTGGTTTAGAGTTACTTTAGGCTTTAGTTTAGTTTTAGCTTTAGACCCGGACTTTTGCAGCACTGGTGCCTCTGCAGCTGAAGGGGGGCGGGGGGGGGAAGAACCCTTCTCCTCCCTCCCCCTTGCCCCGGACTAGCCTATGACCACTAGACAATGCAGCATTGGTCAAAGCAACTGGAAAAGTTGTCAGCTGCATTAAGTATTATATCAGATTAGCTAATCCAGGTGTTCCACGTATGCCTGGTACTTTGTACCACTGGGGATTTTACACGGCTAGTTCGTACGGATTTTAAGCAAATCATGATTATGCTTAAGCAATACCCCGAGATTTTCCCACTGATAACTCTGTTAATCCTGCTGCTGCTGTTCTACAATTTGTAATTGGAATAGTGATAGAGCAAAAGTATTGATTAGTATTATGAATTATCAATTAAGTAACAATTAAAGCAAAAGGAAAAATTGCTCGAATACATAGTAAATCTGAATAAATATCACCGCTTAATTAGTAATTTAAACGAGAGAAATAACCGCCAAAATATGTAAAAAACTTGAAAAAAATTTCTAAACGGGAATATTTCAGTCCATTGAGTGTTGTAGAAATTTTAGAGATACAAACAATGAGAATATCTTTGGCTAAGGGCTGTTGGAAGAGGACGAGGGCCTAAAATCGCATCTATACGTTAACATATGTGCAGTTCATTTGGCGTTGCTGCTGACTCACCGGGGCGTGGAGAGGGAACACAATCGAATTTTGATAATTAATGAGAACACTAATTGGCGCATACATTCCAGTAGCCTTACTTCTTTCACATATCCTTCTTGCAAATTAGTTACATGTCTTTTCAATACATGGCGGATAGGAGGCTGTACTGACGAT